TCTCAGATTTGGATGGGAAAGAGAAGATGCTATTGATGGATCCTCTAGAACCCATCAGTGAGTGAGTACAACAGTTATTGGACCTCATAAAATTCAAACAAAAGTAGTTACCACTAAGTTTAAAGCATAAACATGAAAAAGTATGTATTTCACATTGGAAACTTACGATAGCTGTGAAGCAAATCCTTATTTTTCAATGCTACAACTTAAATTCGTCTTCTATGCCATTATTTAGCATTTTAGAATAGAATTGCTTAGCAAGTTATTTTAATCGTTGTAAATGCTGAGGTTAGTAAAATAAAGTAGAAACTCCAACTTCAGATATGCTAACATATTCCTTAAAGTTTATTGTATAATAAACAGAAAACAAAATATGGTTCATATTTTCACATCTACACCATCTTAATCCTCCATACGCACAAGGGTTATTATAATCCAGTAGGATTATCTGCTGCCATCAGAGGCATATTCTGTGGAGTTAGAGCTAAGCTACCAAAGCTTATTTCCATTAAGTCACTTTAACATCTACTTCATTCCATGTTCTCGCAGCAACAGATATACATCAGTCTGACTCACGTGCACATGGAAGTAAAGTCATATTTTAGTAAAGGGTTCTAACCCTTGTTTTCCTCTGCACCGCCCCCCACCTCCACAAACACACTGATCCCATGGGTCTGAGACCCCACACATAACAAATCATCACATCCAATTTAGTAAGTCTGATTGGAGCAAACAAAGAGGGGATGCAGGTACTTTCCCTCTAATAAAAACCCTTTGTTCCAAAAGAAAGAAAGTATATTGCAATTTCAGAGCAGGACGAAAGTTGTCTATTTTGTTCTTTCATTTAATTGTTAAATGGGATGAAGGCAGACAACACCCACCTCACTGAAATCCATGTTGTCAGTAAATTGCAAAGCTAGATAAAAAGTTAGAGCTTGTGAAATTTCATTTAAAAAATAAAAAAGTTCCAAATCTGAACACAGAATGTGAAACTTACATAAATCTTTAGTGATAGCTAGTGAGGTAGGTATTGGGAGATATGCTGGAGCAGAAAAATAATATTTGAAGGTTGCAAGTGGGAGTCAAGGGAGTGGAAGAATAAATGTGAACCACATTTTCAGTATATTCTTCTAAAAATGGATAATTGAAATTATTTCACTTATTTAACATGCATTAAGTTTAGGGCAGCACTTTGGATATCATAGATGGTGTAACAATGAATCAGAAGGTAGAACCTCTGTCTTGAAAGAAAATAAACAATTTTAAGAAAGACCTGTGCATGCATAACAAGGTCAAGACAGTGTGTGTAAAATGACCTGATGCTCTGGGGCATTCAGAGGAAAAATAAAATGTTTAAAAAGGGGGACCAGGAAGGTTACATTCAGAGTGGATGGGGTTGGAACTCAGTTATCAATGAGGAGGTGGGTGCCTGAACATTTGTGAGAAGAAAAGAGTCTGGCAACAGCAGAGGCACAGGAAAGCACAGAAAACCCTCAGACCAGATCAGCCATAACCTGAATAACATTCAGGGACTAGTCAGAAATCAATTAGGAGGAGAACGTCACATCAGAGTGTGGAGGCCTTGAAGAGCGAGGGAAAGAATTCTGATTCCAGGCAGTTGGCAGTGGAGAGCATTGGAAGCTTTCTGTGCTGGGAAGTGTGGTAATCAAAGCTGTACTTGGGGGAATGAGTGTAGTGGTGCTTGACAATGGCCAGAGGATGGGAGAGACCAGAGGCAGAGAGTCTGATGGGAGGGTTCTCATATTGATCCAGTGAGGTAGTAGAAAGACTAAGGAAGAGGTAGGTATTGGGAGATATGCAGGAGTAGAAAAATAATATTTGAAGGTTGCAAGTGGGAAGCAAGGGAGAGGTATGATAATGACTCTAAGCCTGGGTGACTGAGGAAACAGAGGTCAAGAGGAAAATCTGAGCTGAGAGAGAAAGATGAGAAAATCAGTTTGGGGCCATATCCAGATGAAGTCTGGTAGGGAGGTAGAAATACAGGACTGAGGAATTCATTCTGAATTAATAGATGATAGCTATAATAAGTAATAGATATAGATGTAACAGACAATATATTTTAGAGTGATCTACATTAGAGGAAAAGCTGAAGCTACTTAGATAGATTCACCAAATACAACAGAATATGTTAGACTTCTAACATAAATAATTCAAAATTTGTTTATGTCAAAAACTGCCCATAGTATTTGTATGCTGTATTACTGTACCACTGTTAAGATGCAACCTTGAATCAGGACACCTGAGACTATATAAGTAGCTGGAATGGAAAGTTTGTATATAGAAACTAATAAAACCACAATAATACATGGCACTTTACAAATTCATTCCTTGGAACAAATTTTCATCACTGAAGTCTGAAAATTGAAATATAAAGCAAATCTATTTAAATTATTTATGCCAATTTAAATCAATTCCTCTTTTTCATTGAAATCAACATTGCTTTCTCAATAATGAACAAGAATATTAACTTAAGTGTCCATTGATGAATAGATAAAAATAATGTATATTGTTAACATATATACAATGGAATACTACTCAGCCATCCTATATAATAAAGAGGTAATATGCAAATTGATTATCACTATAACACTCATGATGGCTGCCCCCATGTGGTCAAAGATGGCTGCCACAAGATGGCCAGCAGAGGAGAGCAGTTGGAGGGACCAGCCTGCAAAGGAGGGCAGGGGGACGGGAAATCAGGCCTGCAGGGGAGGGCAGTAGGGCGAAGGGGGGGAGGGGGGGACCAGGGTTGTAGGTGAAGGAAGTTGGGGGCAAGCAGGCCTGCAGGGGAGGGCATTTGGGGGTGACCAGGCCAGCAGGGGAGGCAGTTGGGGGTGACCAGATCAGCAGGAGAGAGCAGTTAAGGATGACCAGGCCTGCTGGAGAGGGCAGTTAGGGGCAATTAGACCAGCAGGGGAGGATAGTTATGGGTGACCAGGCTGGCAAGGGAGGGAAGTTAGGGGTGATTGGACCAACAGGGAAGGGCAGTTAAGGATGACCCGGCCAGCAAGGGAGGGCAGTTAGGCATGACAAGGTTGGCAAGGGAGGGCAGTTAGGGGCAATCAGGCAGGCAGGCAGGCAGGCAGGCGAGCAGTTGGGAGCCAGCAGTCCTGGATTGTGAGAGGTGTCTCAGATTGGAGAGGTTGCAGGCTTGGCTGAGGGACACTTCTCCGTACACAAATTTCATGCACTGGGCTTGAAGTCTATACTAATAAGAGAATAATATGCTAATTAGAATGGGAGACCTTCCGGAGACCTTCCAGACGTCCTTCTGGACAAAGCCCGGGGCTTGGCTAGCCTGCAAACCACCCCCAAACAGCCCTCAGCCCTCCCCCAGGCTAGCCACACCCCCCATAAGGAACCTCACTCTGATGGGGGCATGGCCAGCTTGTAGATGGCCATCAGCCCCTTTCCCAGGCCCACCCTACCTCTAGCAGGGACCCTCACGGGGACATGGCCAAACTTCAAACAGCCATCAGCCCCTTGCCCAGGCCAGCCATGCCCCACAACTGGCACCCCCACCCTGAAGGTTGTGTGGCCAGCCTAGAAATGGTCCTCAGCCCTTCACCCAGCCTGGCCACACACCCAGCAGGGACCCCCCCCCCACTCCAGTGGGGTGTGGCCAGCCCCAGTCCCTCACCCAGGCCAGCACCACCCCCAGTAGGGACCCCCACCCCAATGGGGCATGGATGGCCTGAAACCCCTCAGGTCCCTCGCCCAGGCTGACCCTGCACCCAAAGGGGTCCCCCATGCTGATCTGGGACCCCTTTCAGGGCAGACCAGCCAGCTCCCACCTGTGCAGCAGGCCTCTATCTATACTAATAAAAGGGTAATATGTTAATTAGACCAGGAGACCTTCTGGGCATCCTTCTGGACAAAGCCATAGTGACGGGGCTGAGGCAGAAGTGGTTAGGGGTGATCAAGCCAGGAAGGGAGGGCAGTTGGGGACGATCAGACCAGCAGGGAAGGTAAGTTTGAGGCAAGCAGACTGGTGGAGGGGGGCAGTTGGGAGAGAGCAGGCCAGCAGGCAGAGTGGTTAGGAGTGATCAGGCAGGCAGGCAGATAAGATGTTAGGAGCCAGTGGTCCCAGATTTCAAGAGGGATGTCTGACTGCCAGTTTAGGCCCACAGCAATTGGGCCCAAACCGGCATTCGGACATCCCCCAAGGGGTCCCAGATTGGAGATGATGCAGGCCAGGCTGAGGGACACCTACCCCCCCCCCATGAACTTTGTGCACCAGGCCACTACCATGTTTCCCCGAAAATAAGACATCCTCCAAAAATAAGACCTAGCACCTGGAAAAATAAGACATCCCCTGAAAATAAGATCTAGCGCTTCTTTGGGAGCAAAAATTAATATAAGACACTGTCTTATTTTCAGGGAAGCAGGGTAGTTAAAAGATAACAGAATCTTGCCATTTTCTACAATATTGATGGATGTACCTTAAGGTCATTATGCTAAGTGAAATAAATCAGATGGAGAAAGACAAATACCATATGATTCCACTCATATGTGAAATCTAAAAAAACAAACAAGTGAACAGAAAAAACTAAACATAAAACTTCATAGGTGATTGCCAAAGGGGAAAGGAGTTCAGGTATGTGAAGTGAGTGAAGGGGGTCAGTTATATAGTGAAGGATGGTAACTAGACTTTTGGTGGTGATCATTATATAGCGTATACAAATATTGAATTAAAATGATATATACCTGAATTTTATATAACATTACATACCAATAAAAGAACATATATATTTTTTAAAAGAACATGTATTAATTACCATTAAAAACAATGTATTTCACAAGAGTACTAACCACCATCTTGATCTCATATGAACACTGATAAATTTATGTTTGTATGCTCTTAATTGACACCACCTGTGACTCACAAACATACCTCCATATCTTACTTTACTTTAACTTATAATAAATACTCTTATATTGAGATACTCAGTAAGAATTATCCACCATTCAGGCCTTACCTGTTTTTGGTTTCTCTGAAGGGCTGAGTTTCAGATGTTGGACTTCGGAGAAAAGACTCACATCGATGCCATACGATGGATCATCCAGAAAAGAAGGCCTTCTCAGTCGTCCAATGCCAAGAGTCTTCGACATAAAATAATCCTCTGTGTCACCAATAACCTCGTCCTGGGGAAACTGGAGGCATTTCATATTCTCGGCTTCAATGACAAGAGCCGGTGACACGTAATGCCCAGTCAGGGCTTTGCTGAGGTAGGAGCCTGTGGATGTTTCACAGTCTGCATTCCCAGGCACATTTGCATCTCCCACCTTCGTGCTTTTGACCTTTGTTTCTGACTCGGAGAGGAGAGATCTGGAAAGCTGGGAGGACTCAGGTATTATATCCTCAATGTCTTCCTTTTCTCTTTCTGAAGGAAGTATGGCCATGGGTTTTTGTTTGAATGTGCATCCATCCAGAAGAAGCCTTAACTGTTCCTCAGAGGGAAGTGATGCTGAATCTAACTGATGAAACAAGCCAAAAGTTTTCATAGTCAACTGATTGAATAACATTTTTTTTTGGTGAGTTTCCAGTAATACAATATAAATCCAAGTGCCCTGAAACCCCTTACACAAAACACTCAAATAGCAAAATCATTCCTTATAAGGTACCCAAAATTGCAGGAGAAATGTACAGCATCCCTAGAAAATAAGTTTAGAATTATTCACATGCTAAAATACAAAGAAAAGTCCCACAGAACTGATGGAAATTAATTACTTCACCAAATAAACCAGTAACACTGGACACATATCAGTAACTTGAGATGAAATGAAGTTATTAGAAAGCACTTTCAATTTTATAAATCTTGGAACATCAAGCAGAGAAATGAGCAACCTCCTCTTTGATAAAGAGCCAGGAATCCTGCCATGATCTCCAGTGGGTGTTTCTCTGCGCCCCCCTCCTCCAAGCCCCACTCTTCAGCGGGAACCCTATCACCACCCAAATCCTTAACTGGAAAAAAATCTCGGACAAACAGGGCAGATTACACCTACCCCTGGGGATTCACCACTCCTATGTCTGTCCACAGCTTTCAGCAGACAATACCACTGAAGACAGAAAAGGAAGAGTGAATGGGGTGGTGCATCCTGAGATGTATAGTTGTGTCAAAGCTGCAGGTCTAGACAGAAGTCAGGGGCATTCCAATAGCAGTGCATTCTGGGAGAAGGATATGATCAAACACACTTAATCTCGGCTTGTGAGATTATCAGGGCTGGGTGTTTCAAGCAAGATCTTAAGGACTTAAAAGCATTTTTTCTTCCAGAGATGATCTCAGGAAATAAAATATTAAATCAAAGTGTAGGGCCATGTTCTACAAGGATTCAACTAAATAGCAAGCCACTTGAATTGCAACAATTTCAAAAAGAATGGGAATAAAATATATTGAATCACACTGAAAAAAATCTTCTCTCAAGAATCAGCACCCTCTTTGATTTTTTAAAGTATGTTTTTATTGATTTTTATAGAGAGAGGAAAGAAGGAGGATAGAGAGAAACATCAGTCAGCTGCCTCTTGCACACTGCAACTGGGGATTGAGCCTGCAACCCAGGCATGTGCCTTTACCAGGAATCAAACCAGAACCTCTTAGTTCTTGGGTGATGCTCAACCACTGAGTATACAGGCTGGGCTATCACTAATTTACATCATATATTATCTAGAAAAACTTCAATCCTCCTTTTTAGGGGAATGAATTATCAAAGAACAGAAAGTCCCCTAAATATAAGAAAACCTAAATATTAATTGCAATAGCCTTAAGTTCTACTTCAGCATAGTAAGACAATACTTTTGGTCTACTTTGTGGTCCATTATAATAATTAACCAAATTCTCTGCATATGTAAAGTACTGGGGGTAGAGAAGGGGAAGGAAATGCTACTATTGGAACTGCTATAGTCAATTCCTCGTTACTGAGAAATGATTCTAATTAGCTAATAACAAAATAGTAAGAAAAACAAATTTTGTATCATGAGTTAAAAATATATCATGTTTTAAAATTATGTTTAACTTCTATAAATTAAAAACTAGTCCTCATAGTGGCAAGTGTCATATGAGTTTGACAGTAACAAGAATTTGGAAATATATTCTTAATAATTATCTGGGATTCAAAATTCATGTAATTCACCCTACAGTTAGCAAACCTGTAACAACAAATAGGAACTGAATTATATACTCACAAATCCTACTTCGTTCACTAGATTTCTGAAAGCCAGGTGTGGCACTTTATCCAGCACTCCCCTCACCCCACCATGTATACCTAGTCAACTATAAAATGAAGGCCGTCCTTGTATGGTACAGGATACTACTTAAAATACCTTTCAAAACCTGCTTCTGTAAAATAGTTCATAATGGATAGACAATCCTAGGATTTAGAAAGGGTCCACTAAGTGTCACTCTCACCGAAGGCTTATCATATGAAATTTCCAGATGCTAGGAAAAAAACAGTCCATACTGGAGCAAGGGGATGAAGAATTATGGAAGGAGGTCTGGGGGAGGGGTGAGATTGGAAGATTATCTGATATGTTTGGCTACTTCCACAAACAATATCGATAAGATAGCTAGTTGACAGTTCTGATGATGTATTTGGCTAGACATGAAAAAAAAAAAAAAGTAAAAACAAAGCAATTATGAACTCTGAGAACAAAAAGCTTTATGAAAAGAAAGGTAGTATTTCAGAAAATTCAGCAAAAGAAAATAAGGTAATTATTAACTCTAGGACAGAAAGTTGTATAAGAAAGGATGTCATAGGATACTACTTGTTTTTGCTATAATATTTATAAATCATCGTAATATGAACAGTGATAATAGAGGTAACCAAAACTTGTGATTTAACTGGTTAGGGGAAATGGGAGGAGAGAAAAGAGATGTTTGGAGTAACAAAGTTAAATTCTTAGCTACCATCATAGGAAGTCATGTCAATAAAAACACCATTATTAATATAAAATTTCCTATCATTATAAATAGATATAAAATTAATCAATTAAAAAAAAGTTATTATGAAATAAAATAGAGGTAAAGAGTAGGGGGCACATCTAGAGGAATTAAAAGTGGCTGATTCCAGAGAACAAACTAAGAGGTGGAGAAGGGGTAAGGGGCAAGGAGCTGCCATATTTGTTAAAACATGTTATAATTTTTAATTAGTTATAATTAAAATTAACTTTTAATTTAATTTAAATGTATACATATTTTTAAGAAAATTTAATTTAAAAATAAAAATCTGAAATATTTAAATGAAATTCCCAACCAATTTATCTTTAGACATAAAGAAGTAAATCCAGTAAATTTTATGGAGTCTGAAATTGAAACAGGGGGAGGGTACATTTTTAAGAAAAAAGAATATAAAATTATAAGTAAATAGGTACAAAGTGAGGAGGGTTTTTTTATTATTGTTTTTTTAGAGTGTGAAATACCACAAGTTACGGGAGCCTTGGAAATTCTAGTCCATTTCTTACACCACCTCTTTACATCATTTACCAGAAACGCCTATAAAGAAATGTTTCCTGATTGGAGCCTAGCTCCCTCTCTCCACTCATTCCTTCAGTGAGGGGCCTTCTTTGGGATGCCAAGCTTGACACCCACAAGATAGGACAAGATCTATAATATTGTCCTGACGGGTGGTTCTACCCATATCCCAAGGTTCAGAAACTGCTGCAGGACTTCTTCAATGGAAAAGAGTTGAGTAAGAGAATCCTATGTGTTCAATATGAAAGCAACTGATGGAGATGATGCTGTTGCTATGGTGCAGCTGTCCAGGCAGTCATCCTGTATAGAGACAAATCTGGAAATGTTCAAGATACTCCTCTTTCCCTTGGCATTGAGACTGCTGGTGGAATCATGATGGTACTCATCAAGCACAATATTACCGTTCCTACCACGCAGAAACAGACCTCCCTACCTACCTCTGTCAACCAGCCCCGGGTGCTCATTCAGGTTTATGACAGTGAGCATGCAACTTGGTAATGATGGATAACCACCTGAGCGGCAGGTTTGAACTCACAGGCATACCTCCTGCACCTCATGATATTCCTCAGATTGAAGTCACTTTTGATATTGATGCCAATGGCATCCTCAATGTGTCTGCTATGGAGGAGAATGCAGGAAAAGAGAACAAGTTTGCCATCACTAACAAGACTGATCTGAGCCATATCTCATAGCAATATTTTTACTGACACTTTACTGACAAGTGTCCATTAGCAGATGAGTATTATAGATTAAAAGCCAGTGGTAAATCTACACAACGGAATACTACGCTGCTGTAAAAATAATAATAATAACTCCTCTTACCATTTGCAACAGCATGGATGGACCTGGAGAGCATTATGCTAAGTGAAATAAGCCAGTCGGAGAAAGATAAGTATCACACTTTCACTCATTTACTCATATGGAATATAATGAGCAACATAAACTGATGAGCAAAAATAGATCCAGAAATATAAAATCATCAAACAGACCATCAAACCTCAGAGGGAAAGTAGGGGAGGGTGGGAGGAGTGTAATAGATCAACCAAAGGACTTTTACGCATGCACCAATGGACACAGACAGTAGGGGGTAGGGCATGCGCTGGGAATGTGGGAGCAGGCAGGGAGAGGTCAATGGGGGAAAAGGAGACTCATGTAATACTTTCAACAATAAAGAACTTAAATTTTTTTTTAAAAGAGAGTTGTCTGAGCAAGGAAGATGTTCAGCACATGATCCAGGAAGCTGAGAAGTACAGAGCTGAAAATTAGTGGGACAAGATATCTTCCTGGAATTTATTTGAATCCTATGTGTTCAATATGAAAGCAACTGATGAAGATGAAAAACTTCAGGGCAAGATCAATGATGAAGACAAACAAGATTCTTGATGAGTACAATGATATCATCAGCTGACTTGATCATTTCGAACATCAGCAGAAAGAGTTGGTAAGTGTCTGCAACCTCATCATTACAGAGCTGCGCCGGAGTGCAGGAGCAATGCCGGGAGGAATGCCTGGGGTTTCCCTAGTGGTGAAACCCCTCCATCTGTCTGGTGGTGCCTCCTTTGGGCCTATCATCAAAGAGGTTGATTCAGCCAACCTTCAGCAAAGATTTAGCACTGTTCCACACATAATATTGAAGGACCCAAATTTGTAGTAAATTCCAACGCAGTTTTAAAAGTTGAGCAGCTGCATTGTTTTTTGGGGTTTTTTTAAGTTAGAAAACTTTTAATAATCCTATCATGAGATTCGGGGGGGGGGGGGGAGAGACAAGAGTGACATTGATAGAATAGGAAGGGGAGAATGTGTGGGACTTCACACAGAATTAAGTGATAAATTAGACAATCACACAGCAAGAAAATGGGAATCTCAAGGACAATGCCAAGATTTCAAATGTGGGGTGTTAGAGGAAAAGGATTCTATTGGGGGTGGGCATTCTTGATACTTGAATGTGGACTATGTGCACAGGGAAAGGAAATAATGCACTGTAGAAGCACTGTATTATAAAGTGGGAAA